ACCGAATAGAGTTGCAGGATATCAGCCAAAAGTGGAAACAAGACAGAAAATAAAAACCAAACGTAGCATAGAAATCGAATGGTAAGAACTTAGATCTGGATWTAAACCTACATCATGTTCCTACCACTGCCCACTCAAACAAAACATCGAACATCTGGATTGCAACTCTAAAAACACAGAAACTGCACACAGTAGACGGTTATCCAATTAACGGTAAACAATTAAAACAACCTAAATTTGTTTATGCAATCTTCACAAATAAACAAACCTAATCAAACAAATAAACCTAAATCTAAGTTGAAGTCTAAGCATTAAAAGAAATGGATTTCGTCGGTGCATCAATTGGATTGTCATCAGTCTTCACTTTCTTCACTTTAATTCTCCTTTCCGAATGTATAAAGTGATAATGAACATCTACATATTTCGTTCCCTCATGATGCACATGGTCTTTTGCAAGAAAAATAGCACACATGCTGTCACAAAAAACTACAATCTGATCTTCCAAGATCTCCAAGCAAACCTTTCAGCCAAATCCCTTTTTTTGCAGCCTCCATAAGAGCCATATATTCAGCCTCTGTTGTAGACAAAGCTACAGACGGCTGTAACATCGCTTTCCAGCTCACTAACGCATCTCCAACAGTGAACATATATCCCGTTAATGAATTCTGTGTGTCAAGGTCAGTTGCGTAATCAGAATCTGAAAATCCAACCATGATACAATCTCCTTCTCCTCCATAAATGAGACCTACATCAGCTGTCTTTGAGTTAACGAAAAATATGTTTCACGGCAACCCAATGTTCTCTCCCCGGATAAGCCATGTAGCGAAACAACGTTAGCAGCATGAGCTATGTCAGGTCTAGTGCAGACCATGACATACATAAGACTTCCTACAGCACTAGAATAAGAAACTTTGCTCATATACTCCACCTCAGCCTCTATTTGAGGTGCCAAAGCCACTGATAATCTGAAATTTGTTGATGAAGGTGTGCTCACAGCCTTTGCAAAAGCCATACCAAATCGAGAAAGTATCTTCAAAATGTAACTTTTCTGGGACAAGAAAAGTTTACGTCTATATCTATCTCGGATAATCTCTATACCGAGAATCTTTCGAGCAGCCCCCAAATCTTTCATGTCAAACTCAGAAGTAAGGAATCTCTTTAACTTCTTAATTTCAGCCATATCACGAGCCACTACTAACATATCGTCCACATAAAGTAGCAGATACACATGTGACCTATCAGCACCTTTCTTATGATATATACATCAATCATAACGGCTTCTAGTAAAACCATGACTCACCATAAAGCTATCAAAACGTTTATACCACTGTCTCGGAGATTGCTTTAACCCATAAAGCCATTTCTTGAGCTTACAAACATAGTTTTATTTACCTTGAGCTACAAAACCCTCCGGTTGACTCATATAGATTTCCTCTTCAAGCTCACGATGTAAGAAAGTTGTTTTGACGTCCAATTGTCCCAACTCCAAATTTGCTTGTGCTACTAGTGCCAACAACACCCAAATGGATGTATGACGCACCACCGACGAGAAAATTTCATTATGATCAGCCCCTTGCTATTGGCTATAACCTCTAGCCACCAAACGGGCCTTTTATCTCATACTTTCAGCTCCTGGCATCCCCGTTTTCCGCTTAAAGATCCACTTACAGGTCATAAATTTTCTGCCTTGAGGTAACTTCACTAATTCTCAAGTTCTATCCTTGTGAAGGGATTCCATCTCTTCACTCATGGCTGTTATCCACACATCAGCCTCCTTCGTTGTGATTGCTTCTTTGTAAGTAGATGGCTCAAAGAACTCCATTTCTTCAGCAACTTGCAGAGCATAGGCCACCATGTCATCAAAACCATATCGAATTGGCCTACCAACTTGTCTTCGGGGCTTATCTAATGCTATAGATCGAAATTCTGCAGGTTGGTGCTGATTTTCGAGCACAACAGGTTCAGTTTGAAGCGATTCACTGTTCTGTCTAGCAGTATTCTCACCTTCATTGGGACCATTTAACTCGTACTCCACCTGTTCGGGCACACTCTCCTCTTGAACACTAGGAGTAAATGAATACCTCACACCACGTAACATACTCTCCTCATCAAACACTATGTCACGCTGAGAATCACCTTTCTTTTATCAAGAGACCAAATTCTGTAGCCCTTTACTCCAATTCCATATCCCGTAAGCAGCCCCTTCTTTGATCTCGGTTCCAATTTTCCTTCACTAACATGGTAGTATAAAGGACAACCAAATATTCTTAAGCCCGTGTAATCAGCCGGCTTACCGGACCACACCTCAATAGGAGTTTTACAATCAATTGCCGTTGTTGTGGAGTGTGCCTAACCGTTCGATGCCTTGCAGTTCCTTCATCTTTAACAAAACCAATCAAACTCACTTGAACAAAACTCCAATCCGTTGTCCGTTTGCAGCCGTTTTATCATCTTCCCAACTTGATTTTCGATGAGAACTTTCCAATCTTTAAACTTCTCAAACGACTCACTCTTATGCTTCATGACGAATACCCAAGTCATCCTAGAGTAGTCGTCAGTAATTGAGAGGAAATAACGACCACCACCAAATGAAGGAACTTGCAAGGGACCCCAACAATCAGCGTGAAGGTAATCTAAAGTCGACTTGGCTGTATGGACAGCTTTTGAAAAACTCATTCTCCTTTGTTTTCCAAAGATGCAATGCTCACAAAAGCCCAATTCAGCAACTCGATGACCTCCAAGAAGTCCTTTCTTGCTGATAATTATCATGCCTTTCTCACTAACATGCCCTAGCCTCATGTGCCACAGACGTGTCAAATCTGACTCATTCTCTACAGGATTAAGGGTTGGTGTTGCTGATCCAACAACTGTGCTACCTTCAAGCACATACAAGGTACCTCTCTTGACTCCTTTCATCACTACTAATGCACCCTTAGTGACCCGAATTACTCCACCCTCACCAGTGTAGTCGAATTACTCAAGGAGAATGATGAGGTGAATAAGATTCAAGATGAGAATGTTGAAAAAAGTGAAGTGAATGAGAACAAAGAGGATACACAGGAGGTTGTTTTAGAGAAAGAAGAGAAATAGGGGAAGAGGAGAATAAAGAGAGAGAGAAGATGGAGGTGAATGAGCAGGATGTTTTGGATACTTTAAGCTTCAAACTTGGAATATCACAGGTAGATAGTCCAACAGATAGGTGAAACCCAACTTTATAGGTGAGCTAGGTGGGTAAAATAGGTTTCCCAAGTCAAATAAAACCATCAAGGGTCCAACAAACAGAAGGAAGATTAGGGAAGTTAAAGCATTCATATTTCCACAATAAGCATTGATTTCATATGTTTTGTTGAATGTATCAGACCAGTTAGAAGAACATCAAAGCAGACTGAATTCTTGCTAAAACCCCCTGCGTAGTAATAACTAAACACATTGACATTATAACCATCTTTCATGTAATATCCATTTAACAGGGTAATATCCACATCAATGATGCCCTATTCAAAGTAGCCCAAATGAATAAGTACTATAGTTTTATGTGCCCTCAAAAAATACCATAACAAGAAGTACCATAGGATTGGTGATGATTGTGATGATTGTGGTGATTGTGGTAAAAGGGGCTGTTCAGTTTTCCAACTATTTCATACAGATAGTCCCATAAAATTGGTAAAAGCGGAGATGCAATTTTAATTTGACGCCGAACTCCTGAGAGTATCTTCTTCTTTAATTTGTAAAGTTCAATGCAGTGATGATTATTTTCTTCAAAGAACTTCAGAATCCAAACATAACCAAATTGAATATGCAACAAAAGTGTAACCCTTTCATGGACGAAGACGATACTAATCCCAAATTTTGAGTCCATATTTAAATTGTATTTATATCTGTGATGCAGAGGAAAACAAAGAGAAAAGACAATACAGAAAATGGCATCGATTACCAAGAAAACACAGAGAAAAGATAGAGGGAAAGTTACCTGTTACACACCGTGGTTCCCAAATCGATTACCAGGGATGAAGGGCGAGCAACGATGAGGGAGGGTGAGCAGCGTCGCGATTCGGGAAAGACGGGGAGGAAGAACGATGAGGGAGGGGGGAGGAGCGATAGGGAGATGAGCGTGAAAACCTAATCGTGCAAAGGGGGCAAGCATGGAAAAGATGAAATCTGACCGGGTAAGCATTGTTTTCATGCTGTCTGCTGTCTTATTCGGTCAGAGTTTTTCGGTCAGAGTTTTGGTCGGTTTTCTGTCAGAATGGTAAATCAGTATGTAAGCTGACCGCTGATCGAGTAACATTGCTGACCAGTCAGCACCTGGTAAATAGCCCCTTACAATGTGTCACCTAAGTAATTCCACCCTTTGCTGCCTTATATATAGAGAGAGGAAAAAAGGAGCGATCAAATGAAAATCACCCTCATTTATACAAACTTTATAAATCATTTTCATACGTCGATTTTATTGTTTAATCTTATGAAATTTTTTCATGAAATTGTTAATCTTGTAAAATTGTTTCATATAATACTTTTTTTTGATTAATTTGTTTCATATATGGTTATAAAATTGTTTCATATTATATTTAATGAAATTTTTAATGAAACTATTTCATGTATTTCTCTAAAATTAAAATAATGAAGATGATAATATCTATGATTAACACATTTCACAATAAAAATGGTTAATCAACTTCTCATAATTACAAAAAAATGAACAAAATGAAAAATTATGATTGATTGAATGTGGTTTTCACGGTTTGTACAAATTGGATGGTTTTTATTTGAACGTTCCCCCATATATATATATATATATATATATATATATATATA